ATATCTACATGAATACGATCAAAAAATTCAGAGTCAGTGGAACCGGGAATTCAACGTATTTCAACGTGGCTAAATGCTCAGTTCTGTTCTGTCGTTCACTCGTGCAAGCAGTCCCCGTCACCACCTGCATGGAAGGTGAACTGTTAATATCGCAACGCGTTACGGAGGTGAAAGATTTAGGAGTTCATTTTGTATGGTCCACAAGTATAGTGACGCCTTGGTGTCAGGATTGGTACCTACTACTTGACGGGAAAGTGCATTGCAGTGAACAGTTTACTGCAATTTTTTGTTACACTTTTCGTGAACTGACACTCCATACAGACATTATGTACTTAATTAACCAAAGCCTTGTTATTTTCCGCGCCCGCTTCATAGAGAAGTCAAACCACCACAGACGGGGCCCACCAGGGCCGATGCCCGACTGTTGTGGGTAAAGCACAGTAAGTTGCCTGGCCCGGCTCGGGACGGGAGTTGGGACAGGGTAGTTTTAGTCAGAGTGTCTGACATTCCCGCTCGTTAATGCTATTAACTTCAATGTCTATTAAATGTTAAATAGGTTTTTAATCCAAAGACAATTATTGATTTTTGACGTCAGAATCTCGTATGCTAGGAATTTTTTTTTTTTAAGGGGGGAAAATCATCGAATGACTGCTCCCGCCTGGGTGAGGCGGGAGGGAGTGTCAGACTCTTACTGAGAAGATCTATAATTTTTTTATGGCATAAGCCGGTAAACGAGCAGACGGATCACCTGATGGTAAGCAATCGGCGTCGCCAATGGACACTTGGAACACCAGAGGCGCTACAAGTGCGTTACCGGCATTTTGGGGATTAGGAGTTTGAGGATCGTTGGGGACTTAATTGGGTTTTCGGTTACCTCGCTCACACAACGAAACATAATGCGAGCGTTGTTTCCCTCCGTGGACACAGGTACCTCCCGAATCTTCTATGTCCGATGCCGACCTGCGTCAGGTCAGGCGGTAGGTGAGGACGCCGAAGCGTCTCTGAAGTCACTCCTCAAAGAGGGGACTTACCGCTGCAATGGCAGCGAGCCCAAAGTACTGTTGTCTACCAAGATATATTGAAATAATTGAAAATCGATAATTTTCTGAATTAAACCTGCTGCCCAGTGCCTTTGCTAACGCAATGCGTTTCAGTTTTGTCGCGTTCAAGTGACCAACGAAGTCTTTCTAAATTCAAAAGTAATAAATGACCTGTGTTTTGAAAATGATAATAGTGATGTAACCAGTTGGTGTATATTATGTGTAATTATTACTTACTAGCTTCTGCCAGCGGCTTCACCCGCGACCCCAAGGGTAAAATGGCAATGTACTACTTCAGATCATAATCTACCTCTATTCAGAATTTCATTCCAGTCCCTTCAGTCGTTTTAATGCGACTGAGTAACAAACATACACAGAAACACATATTTTTACATTTATAATATCGGTTCAAGCTAACTTCATTGAGCCGCACAATTAAGTGAGTATTATAAACGTAAGAGTAAACAAATATAAGCTGAAAGCTCCGAACTGCTAAGCTATCGGAAGTCACACGTATTATTGTGAGTCAAACATAAAAGATAGACATATGCTGTTTTGTGATATTTTTTAGATAATTTTATGTAGAGCATTCCCGTCGTACATGATTTCTATGTAGCTTTAACCATTAGGCTGCACACGCGATAGAAGCTTAAAAAATGGAGTAACTTCTCCCGTTTTCCCAACATTTCCCTTCACTGCTCTGCTCCTATTGATTGTAGCGTGATGGGAAGTATACTATAACCTCTCCAAGAGCATGAAGAATAATTGTACCAAGTTTCGTTACAATCCGTCGAGTAGTTTTTGTTTCTATAAGGAACATACAGACAGACAGACAGACAAAAATGTTATTCACTGCATTTTTGGCATTAGTATCGATCACTAATCACCCCATGATAGTTATTTTGGAAATATATTTCAAATATTTAATACAGAATTGAGCTCTCTACAGATTTATTATAAGTAGATAAGTACTTATAGATAGATTTCTATTTATTAATACTAAATCAATACATAGTATAAAACAAAGTCGCTTTCGCTGTATGTCCGTATGTATGCTTAGATCTTTAAAACTACGCAACGGATTTTGATGCGGTTTTTTTTAATAGATAGAGTGATTCTTAAGGAAGGTTTGTATGTATAATACATGCATATTGCACCCGTGCGAAGCCGGGGCGGGTCGCTAGTAATGTATAAATTGGTGTTGTAAAAAATAATATATTGTAAGAAAACCAAATACTTAAAAGTAAATACCAGACAATTTTATCCTCTTATTTAGAAAACCTGAATCGTTAAATGAGTCGCTTAAATATGATTATCTGTTGCGGGAGTCGAGACTCGACCGAAATAACTTTGGACAGAATACGTATTACCGTTGTGTTACTTATTTTACTTTCGGAATAGGTAATAAGCTAATGAAGCGTCAAACAGCCAGTACGAAGGCCAAATAAATACATAACGTTATGTATGAAAAACTAAATAAACAAGTACTCACTTGCTATTAGATTGGCCATCGTGCCAGAAGGTACGAACAAGGCTGCCTGCTTCCCCAGCATAGCTGCTAATTTGCTTTCCAGGGCATTTACCGTAGGATCTTCGCCGTAAACATCATCGCCTAATGCTGAATTAACCATGGCATGCTTCATAGCCTCAGTTGGGTTTGTTACCGAATCAGATCGCAAGTCTACTATGTATGCCATGGTAAGTAATATTACGTTTAAATCAAATATATAAAAAGTAACCTAACCACCAGCCTAACTGGAAGCAGGCAGGCAAGAGTCGAATAACAACTGTGAACGTCGCTACATAAGCAACATTTAGGTAAGATAAAAATCGAGTGGTTATTGTTCTTTTATCATAATCATAAATATCTATATTTTCTCCTTGAACTACGGAGTTAGAATACATGGGCGTAGCCAGCCAGGGGTCAGGGTGAGGCAAGTCTAACAAAATATGTAACCGACAAACTATACACGCGCGATTTTCTCTGGTCATTTATTTCATGTAAGCAAGCACTATGCACGTATACGGCAAAACGTCATCATCATCATAACATCACACCGTTTACCCCTAAAAGAATAGGCGGAGGAGCACACTACGGCACTTAATGACACTGTACAATGTAACACCCACTTTTCACTATTTATGCTATGAGTCCCATGTAACAGGGGGGCCTATTGCCATATACCGAGCACAATTCCAGACTCCGTGCTAATATTGAGAATTTTTAAAACCCAGTAATATTTTGCCTGACCCGGGAATCTAACGCTTGCCTAGCACTTGTCGCACTTGCGACCACTCGGCCTGCGAGGCAGTCAAAACGCAAAACGTAAACACAGTTAAGTCTATATATATATATAATATCTACATGAATACGATCAAAAAATTCAGAGTCAGTGGAACCGGGAATTCAACGTATTTCAACGTGGCTAAATGCTCAGTTCTGTTCTGTCGTTCACTCGTGCAAGCAGTCCCCGTCACCACCTGCATGGAAGGTGAACTGTTAATATCGCAACGCGTTACGGAGGTGAAAGATTTAGGAGTTCATTTTGTATGGTCCACAAGTATAGTGACGCCTTGGTGTCAGGATTGGTACCTACTACTTGACGGGAAAGTGCATTGCAGTGAACAGTTTACTGCAATTTTTTGTTACACTTTTCGTGAACTGACACTCCATACAGACATTATGTACTTAATTAACCAAAGCCTTGTTATTTTCCGCGCCCGCTTCATAGAGAAGTCAAACCACCACAGACGGGGCCCACCAGGGCCGATGCCCGACTGTTGTGGGTAAAGCACAGTAAGTTGCCTGGCCCGGCTCGGGACGGGAGTTGGGACAGGGTAGTTTTAGTCAGAGTGTCTGACATTCCCGCTCGTTAATGCTATTAACTTCAATGTCTATTAAATGTTAAATAGGTTTTTAATCCAAAGACAATTATTGATTTTTGACGTCAGAATCTCGTATGCTAGGAATTTTTTTTTTTTAAGGGGGGAAAATCATCGAATGACTGCTCCCGCCTGGGTGAGGCGGGAGGGAGTGTCAGACTCTTACTGACTAAAAACCACCCCGTTCCTTCTCCTGCACGTCGAGCCGGAGCCCCGGTTACCCGTTAGGTTCTATAGACAACAATTATTCGACTGATTACCACTGTTGTAAATAAAACGCTGTACTTAAGTATAAATAAAACTATTTTTATTTAACTCATCATGTCAAAGGTAACAATCAATTATTTATAATTATAATAACAATGGTAAATAGCATACAACATAGTTATAATTTGAAGCAAGAAACTTAATATAGGTACTTTCATAGTACTCAGTATCTCAGTACCATGGTACTCTAATCCAACCAACTTAGAGTGAGTGGAGTATAATGAATAAATACTCTTTGGAGTCACTTTTAACACTTCCAGAATGCCCTAAACATTCCTGTCTAGATTTTTTGTGATATTATAATCTATTTTCTATTATCTCTAGCATTGCATTCCTCTACTAATTGGTTGAATTGGTGGTCAAACATCTTATATACCTAAATATTTGAAATGAAAAAAGTAAAACAATAAACTGTCAGTTAAAACACCAACAACTTTAAAGTAGTAAAAACGTTAATAACAGAAATATTACGTATTTAACAAAATAGAAACCATATAATATAAATAGATACCAAAACAAGCCATCCCTGTAAATATTAACTAGTCTACGATTACGTCTTGGGTTTGTTCAAGGTAGAATGAATAATTAATTCGTCTATGATTTGCGATTGAACCTTTCATTAAAACAGGCAAACTTCTATTGTAGAATGTATATGCTTATCTTTTTAGGTAGATATAAAAAATCTTGCCAGTATAAATATTATTTAGCCTTTTTTCATCTAGGTACAGTCTAAGGTTTTTTTTAAGGGGGGGAAAATCATCGAATGACTGCTCCCGCCTGGGTGAGGCGGGAGGGAGTGTCAGACTCTTACTGACTAAAAACCACCCCGTTCCTTCTCCTGCACGTCGAGCCGGGACCCGGTTACCCGTTAGGTTCTCCGCGACACAGTCTAAGGCTAAGGATTCACGGTGCGATCTCCTTCCGCGCCCGCCCCGGTGGCAGAATAAGGCGGAATTTTCAAAACTCACTAGATCGCAGTTTTCTGCGGTCCCGTAGTTGCAAGACAGGCGGGTAGTTAAACAATCAGTAGAGTTCCGAACCGGTCGTCCCTTTGCTATCACCTACCAACCGACAAACAATCGCAACCGTCGGGGCGTAAAACGCGCCGTGAAAATTGGTTTCAGTTTTTTATATACACTGTATTCTACAAAGGGGCGAGCCCGCAACTGCAAGGGCGCGGGAGAAAATTGTGCCGTGAGTCGTAAGCCTATCTAGTAAATACAATTACTTAGCACCTGTTGTACACAGATATAATGTCTATTAAAATTACTTGTAAATAATAGGTACCTATATTGAGCTCATTCATAAATTGACGTTTCGTATATTGACTCATTTCAAATGAACACATTTACCAAATGGTGCACGTGGGACTATAAAACGCATGTCAGTTGTTTGTTGAATAAAAATAATCTATTGCTTCGCAATAAGTTTTTCTAATCGTGTTTGTAACTTAGTTATACCAATAAGTTTGCAACCCATACTACTGATGAAAATATTAAGAAATCAAGGTAGGTAGGTGGTACCAGTAATAGTCATCAGTTAAATGAAGTTTTATATAGCATCATAGGCGAACATTTACTTATTATGGATGCTATCCAATAGATATGGCTCCTACTTCAACTCAAATTGTTTATTGTATTTGTAACTTAGTTGTATCAAAGTTCATGTTTTATTTCAATTCATTCATTACAAATATTTCAAAGTTCATGCAATCCACGCAACTGATGAAAATGTTGAGAAAACATAGTAGGCAGGCAGTCCCAAGTCATAGTCGTCAGTTGAAATGAAGTTTTATGCACAATCAAAAGCGCTGGTGTAGTGTAACAACAACCTCAAAACCGCTATTTAACAAAGAATGGACTGACAGGACATTAAACGTCGCTAGCGCCATCTACCAAGCGCAAGAAGTCTTTGAAAAGAGGTAGTTTGGACGTTAGTCCCACGTGATTAGCGGTAGCTAAGGAATGGTAGTTTCTAAGCTGTTGCATCTAGCTCCTTGAACACGTATGTGATCTTCATGATGGCCAGCCAGAGAGCTTCGTCGTTGATCTCTCGGTGTATGGTGAACCTCACCGTCTTACTGTTAAAGTATATCGCTTTCACAATTACACCCTCGTCGTTTGGTGTTTTACAGTCGCCCTGTAAAATTATAACAAGTCTTTTATTTTCGAGAAAACGTACATCTATGAAACATTCTATAAAATAAATGGTACCTAGTACCTACATGATATGAACTATAATGAGTTTTTCATATATAGTAATATCCCTAAACATTTGAGAATAACTTTACCTAATTAATTCCACTACATGTAGTCCAAATTATGTTCTAACATACCTGTGTCTCCGCGAGGCAGACCTGTGCAAGCCTCGCCACCACCTTCTGTGCAGTTAGAGAGCTGGTCTCCGGGATCCTCACGAGTATTATATTGCTGTGCTGGCCCTCCACGTCCACTGTGAAAGACTTCAGGAACAAACCCTCGATAACTGGAATATTAAAATGATATTTTGACTAGAGATTCAAACTGAACTCTTCCAGCTGCTTTGATGGTGATTCATATTACAAAAAAATACTCATAGAATAGGTATTCTGTGTAAAATTGGTTTAGGACCAATTAAGGTCTTCGATACTTTTAACACATCTATACGATGACATCCTTTAAGGAAAACCTAAAGGCGAGAGTCATTCTTAGTATTGAGTTAAATAATTCATAAAATTAAGCATTCAATGCTTCATCAACTGTCGTTGAGAATAAAACTAACTATACATTGCATATAAGGCAACAAAATAAGGCATGTTTATTTGATGCTTGATACGAATCAATTCGCAAGTTCTTGCGATGCGTAGAGGGAGTTCGTACATTTTTGCGATGCCACCTCGTATCGCAGTTTTGTGTACGAGCCCTAAAACCTGATGTACCTTTCTGAAGCCTTCAACCGTCACATAATTGCAATTCTCATAAATAATAAGTAACCTTTAGCCATGATATTCGCCCGCTTATGGTCGAGCTTGAGCTGCGGCACGACGTCGTCCAAAGCTACAATGGCGGCGGCAGCCAGCACGCCAGCCTGCCGCATCCCACCGCCAAGCAATTTACGCATGCGACGCGCTCTGAGGACGATATTTAGTACATCAATCAAAGAGCATTATAATTTATACATTAGCAAGTAGGTAACTTTTATTTAGATTTGTCAAAAGGAACCGCTTTTCATTAGGCGGCCTATCAAACGATTGGTAAAGTGTGTGCGATTTTGCAAATGAATCATAATTATCACTGTGAATCGGAACTTAAGTACTTAATGCCGAAATCTGCATGATTCAGCCGTTTGACAAAAATATTATCAGTCGATATTATACTTAGGTTTCCTACTTACATTTTTTACCCCTTAAGCGATCTCCGGGTCAAACAAAATAGGTAGGTAGGTAGATAATAATAGATAATTCCCAAATATTAAGTTTTATAAGCGCGAATAACAGCTAAATCCAAAAAGTTAATGTGTAAACTTACTGTTCAATAAAATGATAAGAACCAACGAGTCCGGAGCCGACAGGGGCTGACAGACCCTTGCTGAAGCAGACGGAGATGCTGTCACAATCCCTTACGACTCTGCTGGGGTCCTCCTTCAGGTACTCGCAGGCGTTGAACAGCCGAGCGCCATCCATGTGCAGCGGGATGTTGTGACGCTTGCAGATAGCTGACAGGTCGTCAAGAAACTTCAGTGGTAACGCCTGGAACGAATTAATGGTTAGTTTAAAGCTACAGTTGTATACATTATCTACGTCTGGTTCCTAATACCTAAGTGGAAGAAGGAATGCGAAAGAAAGTTCGCATTTCTTCCTTCCTCAAAACATAGCAATGGAATTATGGATCCGTGTTAAAACATGGAAGGCGTTTTAATAAAACTGGTAACAAAGGACGTGGGGTGAGCACTTTTGTGTGCGGATTAAATGGTGTGATAACTTCACAACTCACACACACATGTTAAAATGACTTTTGTGAATAAAAAGCAAATGACGTCACCTTTGCATTTGGAATACCGATCCATTAACACTGGATAGGTTAAAACATTAAATAATGTTACAGATAAAGCTTCACAAGTGGTATGCTATAATAATAAAAGATAAGTACAAATAAATTATGGCCTACATCTCGGTTAATTTGTACAAAATATACGGTCCAATAAGAGATAATAGAGTGTTATCAAATACTGTTAATCTAACTATCAGAGAGCTGCATCGACGGATGTGTAAACTACAGAAAATATAAACTCAGTCTGTTAGGACAAGTTTCCGAATGTCAGCAAGTTATATCGTAACTTTTGTTATTCTGTGGTAAGTGTATCAATGTATGGGGAACACTGACCTTACCACCACAGCAGTTGTGGGTATTTTCGACGGAGACCAGCGAGGTGAGAGGGTCGTGGTCCCTCGTCTTCTTTTGCGAAGGTTTCTGCATCCAAATATACAACTAGTATTTCTACTAACTGCTTTACTTAGATAGATAAAATGGTCCCTAAATTATACTACCTATCTGTTATCTCAAATTTATATACTTGATAGGTCGACGTTTGGCCGCCATTTCGCCTGGTGGTAAGCAAAGATGTGGCCGACAATGGAGCACGCCTACCTATGAGCAACCTGTTCACTCGGGACTTGAAGACACCCAAGTTGTATTTGTCGGGAAACACAGATTCTAGCAAGGAATTCCATTCCTTTGCGGTTCGTGTGCGAATGGGTAGGACATTCCACCATATAAGGATCGCGCCCTGGCGGTCGTCTGGTAGTACGATGGTGAAACGGGCTAGGGGGAATAAGATGTGTATAATAATATGACTTATACCTATGATATATCACAGATGAGACGTTTATCCACAGTCTTCCGAGGGTGGAATGCAAAATAAAGGTACACGTCTACACGTCAATGCTATCACAATAATGAATGTGGAAAAAACGAATAATATGGACTAGAATCGGAACATTTGTTGTGCTATGCAGTCGGCTCCGTTAATCCTACTGTCCAATATAGTGCGTATTTGTAAACCTGGAGGGTACTCGACTTTGGTCAAAAAAATGCTGCTAACTAGTTACTGACCTTACCACCGCAACAATTGTGGGTGTTCTCAACAGCTACCAGCGAGGTGATAGGTTCGTGTACGTCGGTGCCTCGGATTCTACTCTCCAGCTCCTGCAGGTCGAAGGTGCCATCAGGTTTGTTGGTTAAAGTCGACAGAAGGACGCCTGCTGCGTGAGCTGCACCACCTGGATCATCATAATGTCTTATTAGGCCAGTGAAAATACTTGCGTTGCCTGAATTCCTTAGGGTCCATCTTTTAGTAAAATCTCGTTTCTTTCTGAAGGTTCTAACAAAATATTTAAACTGATGTGTACCTTGTTCATACTTGAAGATATGCGACTGGTTTCCGACGAATGCCTCCGATCCTCGCTTGTTGCAGTGCACCATTACTGTAAAAAAATTGATATTAACGGTAACCATATTTATAGATTTTATTATTCTGTCTAGACAGTTTTATTAAGCTTAGTAATAGCGTCACTAGCATGAAGTTTTTAATAGATCCTTAAATTGCCTCACTTTACAAGCGATCGTAAGTGACCAAGAAACGTACCTAAGTTGCCGGTCTCCTAACCACAGAAGCACCAAAAATTACCATCCTAACTTCTTTTCATTATTTTCAAAAATTTCAGTAGGTTCAGCATGAGAGAGAGAGAGAGAGAGAGAGGCCAGGGAAGGCTCATAGTTGGCTGTAACGATCTGATGATGGTTCTTACCGGTTTGGTCAAAATTTAGAATATTCTACCGGATAAGTCAAGGCATAGGAGATAAGGAGACACGTACGGCCAAGGTTGTTTGCCAGTAGAATATAAAGTTATACGTGACAACATAGGACGGATAGACAGACAGGACACATATGTAGGAGGAAGACGTCAAATAGACTGCAAATCCAGTACAGTTAGGCGAGAACGCGATTAAGCTCACTCTTAAAGTTCAAATTGACAGTTACAGAACAACCTAGCAGGGTACAAGTACACTAGGTACAAGGGCACGAGGCGCCTTTGGAAGGTTTCCCCCGTCAAAAAAAAAAAGGTACGTACCTACTTACACTGGTAAAATCCTAACGAATTGTCAACATTCCAGAAAATTTGAGCAGAATACAGCTTTATTTAGGTATGAACCTTTGGTCCTTCTCAAAAAACGACGAAATTATGTTATGAAAATCGTCACAAATTTGATTGATAGTATATTAGTATCATAACGTACGTCTGCTTAATTTTATTTACAAAACAAATTGAATGAAATAATAAAAAAAACATGAAAAAATGAGCTACTCGAAGCATCCTAATTCCTAGTTGTATCTTTATGATCACATTCACGTGTCGTGAATAACGGATGAATATAATCATACGCAATCGTCTTATGAATTGGGCAACCACTTCGCAGTGCCATTCTGTTGGCCAGTCCACTGTCCACGAGACCATCTATCTCCAATCTTCGTGCATATCCTGTTAAATGATTGACGTAGTGTTAGTGTTGGCCTTGGTACATTAATGCCTTGATATTTGATCGTTTTTATCACCCCATGAAAGTGTGCGAACGTAGTTAGTATGCCTACATAACTACATACTTACAAACTTACATACATACTTACCTATACAAACTTGCGTTTTTAAAAAAAATGTGATTTAAAAAAAATACTTAATAATTTACCTATTCAAAAATTTATTATGTACAAGGAAAATTTTAAACAGGAGCAACGTGTTATAATACCTGTGTATAATACATTTCGGTTTAATGATTATGATGTAGGTATTTACGGACCTAGTTACCCAATTGCTTTCTCGTCCGCTTTATATAATCGATTGAGGGTCCAAAGTCACGTAATTATTTAAGGAACAATCAATTAATTGATAACAATGAAACAGCAAAAACAAGAATAAAGAGTAAGCCGATTTAAGATCTATTCAGATAAAGTTAATTACTTTATCTGTTATAAAAACGGAAGAAATTAAGTCGTTAAGGTGTCTTGTACTAATTCCTTAGCATCCGCTATTCGCGTGTTTTAGCATAGTAGGTACCTATTAGTACAAGATGGCCACGTCAGTCTATGAAATATCTAAAATTGGAAACATATTATCTAAACGCTACACGTGTTACGTTGATTTAATAAGATGTAATATGTGATATCATTGAGCAATAATCAAGCGTAGTAGAGTTGTGGAATGTGTATGTCCGTCATTATCCTATCAAATTCTAGAAAGAAAGTGGCGTGCAGGCGTAAAGTTGCAAGCCTTTTGATTTTCTACCGGATACATTTCAGGGAGTGTGCGGGGGAATTGCACAACTTGGTTCCCCCTAGTCCTTTCGATTATCGTATCACAAGACAATCGGCGAAGCGTCACCGATTCATGGTAGATATCCCATCCACACGCACGAAGCACTTCGCATCAAGCTTCCTTGTGCGTACTGCTAAGGAGGGGAATTCTCTGCCAGGCCCTGTATTTACAGACCTAGGTGTAATAGGTACACATTTGCCAGAGGCCGGACAGAAGCGATCTCTGTTAAAACGAAACCCAATAAACACGTCTGTCATATGGTATGGTGGACGTAAGGCCATTGTAATAAATCCACTTATTTAGAGGACCCAGAAAAGAGTGGAGTGGACACTGGATTATCACATATAGGTTGTTGACGTTGATTTATTCAAAAAGAAAAGGTCCTACATTCATTAAATTTAGGTAATTTATGCGCAGCTTTAGGAAGATTATTAATTAAGAATTCCAGATCGTCGCTACCGTTAGGTGATAGAAGCGACTGTTTACGTCGCACCATAGGTCGATGTCTCATTTCTCTAAATTCCGGTTTTAAGGCATAGATGCCTGAGTGTACTGCGCCAAAGAGTTTGAAGGTCATGATAAACTAGACTGCGAGTTATTGGTCTCACAAAATGTCTAAAATAAAGCAACAAGATTAGGCATACAATCGCTTTTTGTGTTTAGATTTAGTTCATTGATGGATGTAATAGACATATTTTTTGCTTAAGAATAAAAACTTGAGGCGAAGGTGTTTTAAGATTTTTCGTAGAGATTTTAAGGTTGACCTAGGTACCTACTTGTTTTTGGAGACCCTGTTTATCGCGAGGGAAATCTTTAAAAGGCACCTAGCTTTGTGGCAACAAAAGCTACCTATAGAATATAATGGAATTTTTACCATATTTAGTAAGGTTACCCCAGTCACCAACCGGGTCCTCTCAATAGACCAACCTCAGAGTACCCCAATTTATGGGCAATAGCTACCTATTGGGCAACGCGTATTGCGACACATCCCGAAGATACTCGCTAGGGAGACCTGCGTCTTTTTTTTTCATACTTTATAGGTCGACGTTTGACCACCATCTCGCCTGATGGTAAGCGATGATGTGGCCGACGATGGAGCACGCCTACCTATGAGCAGCCTGTTCACTCGGGACTTGAAGACACCCAAGCTATATTTGTCGGGAAACACAGACTCTGGCAAGGAATTCCATTCCTTAGCGGTTCAAATGAGGAAGCTTGACGCGAAACGCTTCGTGCGTCGTCTTCCTTGAGCCTCTCTGTGACCACTGTCTTATGCCAATGTCTTTTCTAAAGTCACTCGGGCTGGGAGGACGGCTGGAAAGGCTCAATCGCATGTAAAACATAATTAGGTACTCAAGAGGTAAGAATAAATAAATAAAAACAATTTTGGTGAGTTTTGTCTGTACAATGACGCATTAACCGACTGATCTAGCTATTTTATTTTCCATATTAGTAACTAATTAATATTCTAAAGGTGCCTCATAATTTTGGGAACTTGATTTTGATAGGTCGTATTCCAGACAATTTTGGGAACCATTGACATAAGAGTCTCCTCGGGAGGGATCCCGCCCCACCCAGACGGGAGCAGTCATTCGATGATTTTCCCCCCTTAAAAATAAGTACTACCCTACCGGTGTGTGCTGTGATTTACAAGATAGGTAGGTACTTATTTCAAGTTGTTAGATAGGTTAATTAGGAAAGAGTTTGTCAGGAATAAAATATATTGACTGGTAGAATGTGAGCCTATTGGCGTACATCGAGATTGATGACTGCTGATATTAATTACTTGTTAAGTAGTATTGTTACCTACCAAAAAATATTGAAATGATTGAAAATCGATAATTTTCTGCTTCCCGAAAATTACATAAACCTGCTGCCCTTGCTAACTAATACATGGCGTTTCAGTTTTCAGTTTAGTCGCGTTCAAGTAACCAACGATGTTTTTCTAAATTCAAAAATAATGAATGACTTATGTTTTAAAAATCGCAATAGTGATGTAACCACTTGGTGTATCATGCAATTAGTATATATTTAGGTACCTATTTCTATTCATTAAAACTAAATAGTAGTAGAAACAGGTGTTGTTAAATATACCTATTGTAAGAAAACTAAATACTTAAAAGAACCTATAAGAAGTAAAAACCTACCTACAAGACAATTTTCTTTCCTTATTCAGAAATACTGAAAAGTTAAATGAGTCGCTAAAATATGATTAATTAACTGTTGCGGGAGTCGAGACTCGACCGAAATAACTTTGGACAGAATACGTTTTACCATTGTGTTACCTATTTTACTTTCGGAATAGGTAATAAGCTAATGAAGCGTCAAACAGCCAGTACGAAGGCCAAATAAATACATAACGTTATGTATGAAAAACTAAATAAACAAGTACTCACTTGCTATTAGATTGGCCATCGTGCCAGAAGGTACGAACAAGGCCGCCTGCTTCCCCAGCATAGCTGCTAACTTGCTTTCCAAGGCATTTACCGTAGGATCTTCACCGTAAACATCATCGCCTAATGCTGAATTAACCATGGCATGCTTCATAGCCTCAGTTGGCTTTGTTACCGTATCTGATCGCAAGTCTACTATGTATGCCATGGTAAGTAATATTACGTATAAATCAAATACTTTATAAAAAGTAACCTAACCACCAGTCTAACTGGAAGCCGGCAGGCAAGTGTCGAATAACAACTGTGAACGTCGCTACATAAGCAACATTTAAGATAAAAATCGAGTGGTTCTTGTTCTTTTATCATAAATATCAATATTCTCTCCTTGAACTACGATAACTCATGAAATACCTCAAGGAGCCAAAACACATAATAAATACTCGATTGAAATTTGTTTTATTGTAAGCGACGCGTTTATTATTTATTGGTTATCGGATGATTGGATGATTGGACACTTTGGTTTGGACATCTCTACCCTATCTCAAATTCAACTAGAATTTACTCAAAATGTTACCGTCTAGGTAGCTGATAAGGTCTAGTTTTGTTTAAAAGCATAATAATGTGACATTGTTCCTGTTTCTGATGTTGGTATAACTTCTTACATTCGGATATTCAAAATTCCTATCGTTTGAGAATAATTTCTGTATTTTTTATTCACTTATTATTATTATATTATTACTTACTTTAATCTCCTTATCCGGAAAGGGTACGCAGAAATTAAAATTTCAGGGGATCGATTCCGGCATGGACACGAATGAAATTTTATTTTGAAACTCCTTCTTTTTCTCCACGCGAAACACACAATTTTCTATTGTTCAACCTTTACTTAAAATTTTTAATAGGAGGACGAGGAGGTGGATAGTCTCAGAAAACCAGCCAAGTGAGTCGGATTCGCGGTTGAAGGATTCGTAACATTCCTTAATATATTCATTCAATTCATTTTCTTGTTGCAGAAGTGCAGGCCGCATAGCTCGCCATGCCAGCATCAACGACATCATTCGTCGTGCTCTTGCCTCAACCAGTGTACCAGCCGTATTAGAACCTAATGGTTTGGTACGTGATGACGGCAAAAGACCAGATGGTATGTCGTTGCTGCCTTGGAAGATGGGTAGGCCTTTGGTGTGGGACGCGACGTGTGTAGACACCCTTGCGCCATCACATCTTTTAAGCACCGCTGCATGCGTTGGTGCAGCTGCTTCTGCGGCAGAGGCCCTCAAACGGCGTAAATATTCAAATCTAGTAGGTAACTACTGTTTTGAGCCGTTTGGGGTCGAAACACTTGGGCCATGGGGGCCCAGTGCACACTCTGTGTTTAAAGACATCGCCCGTAGGCTAATCGACTCTACGCGTGACCAGAGGGCTGGCTTTTTCTTCGGACAGAAAATAAGCATTGCCATTCAACGTGGCAATGCTGCCAGTCTTCTGGGAACGTTCCCCTGTGATAGCGATGCGGACGAATACTTTGACGCCTAAATTAAGGGTATAATTTTGTTGTATTCTTTTTTACTTTGGTTTTATTTAATAGTTTAGTTGTAGTTAATTTTAAGTTGTAAATATTTATGTAGTTATTAAAATTATGAAGATTCAACCATTAAATTTTCATCTTGGTTGTGTATGTAAGTATGGCAGTGGTTGTTATAGCAGCAATAGAAATAACTACATCATCTCCCCAAATATCAACAGTCTAGCTATCATGGTTCATGAGCCTTGTATGATGAGAGACAGACGGTTAGCGAAGTCTTACTAGAATAGGGTTTTCGTAATAGAATAATAGAATGGAAATTTTTTTTTTTAAGGGGGGAACATCATCGAATGGCTGCTCCCGCCTGGGTGAGGCGGGAGGGAGTGTCAGACTCTTACTGACTAAAAACCACCGCGTTCCTTCTCCTGCACGTCAAGCCGGAGCCCCGGATACCCGTTACCCGGTTCTCCGCGACAATGGAAATGAATAGGTTTTTTTTTTATAGGTTTCCCATTTTTAACTTTTGGGTACGGAACCCTAACTACAAGGTCACTTTCCATCCCCATAGCGAGTGTAAACGCTTGTAGTTACAGTACAATTTAACATTTTTCCTTATTTGAATGTCTTAATAAAACTAACTTTATCACTTCAAAATAAAAGTAACCATGGTGTATCCGAATTAAATTTAAATTAATAGATTCCTCGCTGAACGCGACTAAATAACTGAACGCGTCCATATTTTGTTCTCGACACAAGACCGACTGACAGTTGGGAAATCCATAGTTCTCATTGGTCAGAACAGACATCATATGAATTAGTTTAGTCTATAAGCCAATCCCTACACGAATCGGTCCAACGGTCATAATACAATTTTTGTAATCGAAATCTATCCTTGACGACAAGAAAGAAGTGTCGGCGATAAGTCGTTGGCTTATTTTAGTTGTTTTTCTATTACAAAAGTGCATTTTAGTTAGTTATTTGCGGCGGGAACATGTTAAATGCATGTTCATCAATTGGATAATATAAAGTTCAACTTTCTAGTTTAGTAATACAACGAAAATTGTATTCTTATTTCGGCTAAAATCAACGTGAATCGGGCGTCGACCGGTCCATCCCTTCTACCCGTAACCGTCGCCTGCTGTCAGTCGTTCGCTATCGTCATTTTGTACGAATCAGCGCCGTCCGCGACACGGCAAACGCGAGGCAAGAGAACAACGCCGTGTGATAGCAATAAGTAGAAACGTGTGTTGTGGTGTGCCGGTCTTAGTGACCGTTTAATGTGGTATCTAGTGTCGGTGTTCAACTGTCGTACAGGCCGCGCGGCGTGATCAGGCGGCGCGATGGTGGACATGGATAGGAACGACCCGGAGCTCCGGTACTTGTCGGTGGATAGGAACAGCTTCAACGACCCCGCCACACAGGCAGAATGGACGCAGAAGAGACTAGTTTGGGTGCCCCACGAGACCCAGGGTTTCGTGGCGGCTGGGATCAAGGGGGAGCGTGGGGATGAAGTGGAAGTGGAGATAGCGGAGTCAGGAAAGCGTATCCTTGTTCCTATAGATGATATTCAGAAGATGAATCCCCCAAAATTTGACAAAGTAGAAGACATGGCAGAGCTGACCTGTTTGAATGAGGCGTCTGTATTGCACAACATCAAGGACAGATACTACTCTGGACTGATCTATGTAAGTATTCCATTCCTATTCATATAATGTAAGAAACTTGCTTTAATTTTTAGAAACATAGAACACTAGCAACACACTACTGAAATTAATCATAATATTATCTGCTACACTGAATTCAGGATGGTTATCTTATCTTTGAACTCTTAATCATCAGTTTACACCCAAATAAAGTAAAAGTACTGACTTGAGGACATATTTTTAGCACAATATCGGTAAAGATAATGTTTCTATGAAACTTTTTAGGTACTTTTTGTACCATAAAATTAATATTAGCATTTTAAAGTTAACTATTTTACTTCACCTATCATCAATAGGAAAATCTTGTGACAAAAAGGCTGTACTTTATAGAACTGATGGAGTAGCAGTAACATTATGCTAAAAGAAACTTATAAGAATTTTAATACTTTGTCAAATAAAAGGTAATAGGTGTGTAGGTAAATATACACCAGCTAATTGATCTCTATTCTAAGGTGATGCCATCCCTGTTGTTATTCAAAAGCGTGAACTATACCAACTTTGACATCAAATTATTTAAGTACAAATTTATAATGAAACAACAACTATAATTCCGATAATTTGTAGAATCCAGAACCTCTGTTCAATTTATCCTATTTATAATTTATTTCCACTTCTCAACCTAAGAATTTACCTTTAGAAATCAAAGGCTGAATTCTCAACAGTTAATTATCAGATACTAGAACAACAGAAGCAATAGATAAATAATTAAAAACATTCTTCAAAGTCAATAATTATACCTTTCCCTTTTAACTATGGCCACACCTAACAGATGTACACAAACCTACATTGCTGTAGGCACTCGTCATTAAAGACATAATTACATATACATAATATTCCCTAATGAGACTTTTTTAACCAATAACCATATTTCAAGAATGTACGAAGGCTACAATGAATCATAACTTACATAAATATGAAGTCATACCTTGAACAAAACCTTTTTGGTAACTAATGTATTGTTTGTGATGTTTAAATAATATTATCACTGGTTATTATGTGTATTCTGGCTTTATTTTATCGACTTTCAGTTTGGTTTATTCCAGCACAATCTTACATAAAGTGATTAAAGGTATTGTTCTTATTGGCATGAAGATTTCTTCCTGCCCTCACCTCGGATCACTAATATTTTATAGGTTTATCACTTATCATTGTTGCTCCCAATAGACAACTTTTCCTAAGTTCTGTTTTTGATAAATACTAGGACTGCCTCGTTGGCTGAAAGTGCGACTGCCAGGCAAGGTGTCTCGGGTTTGATTTCCAGGTCGGGCAAAAGTATTACTGCTTTATTTTGTAATTCTCAGTAGTAGCATGGAGTCTGGACCCCCTATTATATGGGTCTCACAACATAAATAGTAAAAAGTAGGTGTTACAATGCACAGTGATATTAAGTGCTGTAATATGCACTTTTGCCTAACCGTTGGGGATAAAAAGGCTGTTTTGATAAATTCCGATCGTCAGATCCTTAATTAGTACCAAGCTTCATATGAGATAAGATAAATTCCATTGTTATTTCAAATGTACTGTATTTAGCATTTTCCTGCATTTAATACCATATATAGCAGTATCGCAGTCATATTCAATAAACCAAATGCAGGATAATGTACTAACAGACAGCCATATTAATTTAACCTATATGTATTTACCTTGTTATTTAATAGAATTATTGTTTCTGTTCGAAAATTTAATGTTTATTTATGTCAATGTGTTTTTATTTGCTATTTGGGAGACACAATTAGATTTAGCAGTTTTTATAATCATTTGGAGTATCATAGCATTCACTGACAATATTCTAATAAGTTTACAACCCCTATTATTTGTATTCCAATAAGTTCGACTTTGGACTCGCCGAAAAGATGAGTGTGACATTAAAATTTCCTGCCTGTCCCTTTAAGCACTAAAGGTCTGATGTTGTTATTTTATTATGCCAAAGAAATGGATTATAATTTTTTATCAGCTGATACCCTTGTTTATTATAATTTAGTTATTACTTACATGGAATTTGATCATCAAAGTTTTATCATTAGTCATAATATTTAAAGAGAATTGATATGAAATTATGTCGAATTTTGTCAGTACTCTAAGTACAGTATAATAATTTATATAGATAGCTAATCTACCGATTTCCCTATCACATAAAAATGAAGGAAAAATAGTATAGTATAAAGTAAAGAGTTCAGCGAATCACATGATATCTCCGATTCTGTATAGAAAATCTATTGCGAACGTATAAAAAACTGTATTCAAGTTGATTGACAAGCAGTAAAGATCAGTCAAGCAAACATATGGTCACCATTCTCCACTACAACACTGGTCGACCATATGGTCCATTATAAAATTATCCATCGCTATTCATGAAAGCATGAAGCTTATGACACATTATAGTTCTCCTAATATGTCCAGGTCACACATACATGTACACCATACATAGTACATGTTACCAATTTACAAATTCTTATATGGCTGACAACACTGATTATTTACCCTGTGTGTTGCCAGTATGATGCTTTTGCAGACAATTAAATGTATTAAGTTTGTCATAATTGTTGTAAAGGATGCATATGCCTGCCTTGGCCCACTTACTTTTGTTTAATAATTAAATTCTTTCAATTTGTGTGAGGTTGTATTTAATTACTTCAACAATGCAATTAATATAAACAGATTTTTGCTTTGTTATTGAATTTAATGTGTGCATAATATTCTTGCTATATTATTTAATTACCTAGTCGTATAACATTTTTTGTCTATAATTTTTCGCACATTTCCTTTTACTTAATTCTTATTTGAAAGAGTCTAAGTAACATATTACAACCCCTTAAATGTGTGTCGTAATCGTAACGTCTTGGTCATAAGCCTTTTATTCACCTTATTGTCACCCATGGACCCATACACATTGCTAATAGCACTCATACATATATAACAACTTGCGTTTTATTATAAGACTCATTGGTTCGATTTCTGCATAAATTGTTGCATGTACCTACTATTGGAAGCCCATAAAATCTTCACCTTCAAAAGAATATAATCATCTTTTCTATAGAGATTTCAAATTTCTCGACAAAAAATAGTCCCGATATCGATACATTAATTTTGTTCCTTGAAATTGTCAATATTTAAGCTCACTAACAATCATCGTGGTGGCTGGTTCAGAAAATATATTAATCCACCCAATCCATGACACTAGGAAGACAACATCTCAATCAAACACCAGCAAAACGTAAAAAAAATTTAAGTTAAAAATATACATTGCAATTTATGTCCAAAATGTCGAGAATTGGCGTTAAAAATAAAATCAAGATGGCGGAATATTTCACCTAACAATACACTAGTTAATTATTCCAAGTCTTAAGTACTAGTCCGCATGCAATCGTAAGTCGTAAGTGTCATCAATTAAAGCCATGTTCGCTATATTAATGGAGCGAGAAATCCTTTCATTTACATGACAAAGGTTTGCCACCACTTATTGTCGGGTGGTGACCGCCAGCGATTGTCCGGACAGTTGCTAGTCATGTAGACAGACAAGGTATTGAGCCTGGCTGTACATAGCTGCAAGATACAAAATAAACTGGCATTACTATCACCTTTCCAGGATTTTCTTGCCATCTCTCAATTTTTATTAATGGTTGAAGCATCACCTTGTTCCAAGATGTCTAATCTAGAGACAGAATGAAATAACTTCAAACGTGTTTGAATATTTCAAAGTACAACGAACTTGTTTTCTTTGAATGGACTAAGGACATTTGGTGACAACTTATTTTGATTCTTAAAGTGACTTTAGGCAAATATCGCTTGTCTAAATATAACTTAGAAGATGGCAATTTATTAGCTTGGTTTTTGTGCGATTTGTAGGACCTGACTGAAGTGGAATTTGATTAGAATGTGTTTATTTTACTGGAATATGTGCCACATATACTTTTAATGAACGAAAATATGCAGAATGATGCGTTGAATAATATTATTAAGAATAGCCCTTTCCAATGATAAAACTCCAAATTACAAACACAGCCTACAAAACCCAATGATAACGTGCTTATTTACTTGATCGCCTACGACCTTATTCCTTTTATAATCCGTCACGAATCGCGTGGGATTCTTAACGGTAAATTATGATTAGTTCCGAAATACTTGCATAAATTGTGCCTTGATTATTTGATCGAGATCGTACCTGAGCCTAGTTATTTTTTGACAACATTAAATGCACCTGTTCCATTAATGAATATATGAAAGCTCTATATGTAAAGAACATTGTATTTCATCAAGATCGGTCACCTCATTCGTGAGGTCACTCCTCCATGCAAATCCGCTTAAAGCCATGGTGGTCCCATTCTGACTGACCATAACTTCCTTTTGTGACTCACATTTTAACAATGGTGTTCTCCATTCGACCACGTTTTTGCTTTTATTGTGCATTTTCTTTGCCCCTTATGGCGTTTGTTGGTTTATGCCGTTTTTATTGAGCAACAAAAACAAGCTGCCTATATGGGCGAACTATATGTAATTATGTAGCTTATCCAAGATATTTAGACGGTTCAATACTGTGCAACATCTTTTATGTTAAAGGTAATTTACTGTAATAAAGCTCCGATGTAGGTATATGGCCGCAAGATGCTTAATCAGATTCAAGTCATCTCAACCTTACGACGTCATTTTTTTACCTTATGTGACCTGGTTACTTTAACAGTTCGACTCTTTGTCAATTAAACGTACATTAAAGTTCTGCTGAATACTACTTCATTATAATTATCATGGATAACGAGGTATACGTATAATAGATATTACGTACACACGAGTAACTACTTACACGCGAAAATATTTTCTTGTTTAAAGAGTGTTGACCTCTCTGAATAGGATTAGAGGATTTGTAAGTTCGAGTGTGTATGTGACGTGATGACGTCATTATTTATTACCAGTAGGCCTATGCATTCCCTGAAGGTTTTTCCAAGGCACAAATTATTTCTATTATATGCAGATTGTTTTACATAGCT